TTTTGAGACAGAGAGAGACAGAGCATGAACAGGGGGAGGGGCAGAGAGAGAGGAGACATAGAATCCGAAGCAGGCTTCAGGCTCTGAGCTGTCAGCACAGCTGACACGGGGCTCAAACTCACGGACCGTGAGATCATGACCTGAGCCAAAGTCGGACGCTCAACCCGACTGAGTCACCCAGGTGCCCCAAGCCCCCTGAAACAATTAAATGGTAGTTTTTATAGCACTAATATTTATTCCATTCTTACAGGTAACGCCCAAGATGTATAAACCCAAGATCCATAGGCAAATATCTGCATCACTTACCTGCTTTAAAGCCAAGTTGCCAATTATTAGGTTCCACTTTTCAATGGGTGAATCCATCTTCCCGATATTTACCTGTTAAGATAGATACTTTCACATATCACTGACTAATCATATGCTTTCAACTCTGTTTTAGCAGCGTCTGAAATCTTAAGCCAAAGATAATTCTTTAGTAAATCTGATGAACTCACATTTTTACTTAATATAAATCTGATTTCACTATCAGCCTTGAATCTCACATTTAGCTTGCCCAATACGTTTAGGGAAAAAAAACACTTTTTTAAAATTTAACTACTAGCCCACAAGAACTAGCAGGCCAGTTAATACTATCCATTTGCCCACTGTTTACAACATCATCAAATGTCATCCTAACATGCCAAATTTTATGTACTGAAGCCCAATAGGAATAATCACATAATTCTAGCTGCTAGCATTTTATTCCACATCATGAAACTAGTCTAATTTGAAGAATTAGTGACCAGAAAACCCAGGATTAAATAAGTCATTTATATGTACATAATTTATATTTGAGCCATGACTAAAACTCTTAGCAATAAAAAATTCATTCAGTTCACATATAAATTTTCATTGTGTATTTCACTATTAAAATTTATGTATCTTTCTGCTAAATGGAAGAATACCCTCTAAAAAAATATTATTCAATTGCTCTATATGCTAAATCATTACTTCTCAACCATTTAGGACTCAAAACACGTATATCCAAATCTGTCGAGTTTTTCTAATGCAATCATTTGGAAAGCAGTGAACAATGTTTATTAAAAAAAAAAAAAAAAAAAAAACCAAGTTGGGTTTCAATTATTCATCATCTGCTTGGTCATGGAAGGTTAAGTAAACGGGTAAGGTAGGAGATACATAAGGATTGTTATTTACCAGTAGAGTTTAGCTCACTGGCTTCAGACCAGAAGATTAAGTGCTACATCAACATTTCCACTATCAATTTGGAAAACAGATTCTATTCTTGAACCTCCTTCTGGGATCTAGTCCCAAAGTATCCAGCAATGCAAATATTAAGATTTCTCAGTTTTTCAGTATAATTATTCATGCTGTCTTTATTTGCAGATTTCTTTCCTAAGCCTGGAAATCTACATTATTCATGAAATTTGTGTTTGTAGCTCTAACAACCTGAGTCTTTCCTCCAGTGAGTAATGAGGCAGAGGTAATGTTTAAAGAGTGAAATCCACTTAGGGTTTAATATTCAGGAAATAGGCATGACAGAAATTAGTGTTAGTTTTAGTAACTTTTAGAAAAAAAGTCTATAGGTATAAGAAGCAATCTAAAATGATTCCATGAAAAAGTAGAAGATGTGAAGACTCCAGGATTACTTGATAGTCAGGAGAGGTAGAGACACACATATACTAAGGTCTAGGAAAAGGTCAAGAAAGGGGAATCACAGAATGAATGAGTGCTATGGATTAGGTATGCCACTGTGCCAGATTCACTTGTACCATTGCCACAGTTCCTGCTAAAGCCTGAAGCTACCTTCCTCAAAATCCTCTCCCCTAGAGCTGCAGGTTACAGTCTGCCAGTGACAGGAGTTTGCCTAAGATTTGGAAGGCAGAAGTGAAAGAGAGGCCATTATTTCTGTAAGGTCTTGGTAATCAGACATGGTAGGCATCCAGATGTCTACACTGCAATACACCCATAGCTTTCTTCCTCTTCTCCAGTGCTTCAGGTTATTTCTCCGACTCTTCCATCACAGATCTCTCCTTCTCCCCCATTTGTGTAAGCCCAAATTGCTCTATTAAATTCCTTATTGCTCTCTATAAATTCCAATATATACCAGGGCAGTTCTAGTGAGCAAACCCATACTGAAAGAACAAAGTCACGCTATTCAATTGCTCTGTTTTGTAAATGATGAAGATCACAATTTCTAAGTCCCTTCCAGATCTGTAAGTCTCTAAATCTATAGTTCTTTTAGTCTAACATAAATAACAAGTTAATGTATGATATGAAATAAAATATATTTCACATTTTATGAAATATAATTTATAATGAGAAATCACAATGTATTATGTGAAATAAAGCAGAATATATTCACAAATAAAAATCACCTTTTTTTTGTTTTTAATTATAAAGCAAAGATTTTTAGAAGGATAAAAAAAAGACGAGAGAGAGAAATGTTGATCCAAATTTAACCATGTAGGGAAAATACTTATGGTACGGGCGTGCATTGGAGTGGAAGTGGGAGTTTGGCAGGAAACTGAAAATTGACCTGTGCTGTCCAAGAACTGGGCTGACCTAAGATACTGGCCAGTGGCCTAGGATCAGCATGAATCATCTAAATTTTTCCAGAGTAGAGAGGAAGAATCACAAAGTGTTCTGTTTAAAGGCTTTTGCTAGACCTACTTTTATTCAATTAGCTGACCAAAATATCCTGGCTAGAAAATCTGAGAACTAAGAATGTGATATAGTGGAATATGATCTGATAAAGACTTCTATATGACCTGGGTTAATGTTTTTAAATTGATATGTATTTTATATATTTTAAATATATATATTTTATGTGTTTTAAATATTTTAATATTTATATACAACCTGGCCAATATTTTTGCAAAGACACTAGTTAATTTTTTTTTAATGTTTATTTTTGAGAGAGAGACAGAGTGCAAGCAGGGGAGGTTCAGAGAGAGAGAGGGTGACACA